ATCTGACATGCAGATTTCATCGGGATATTTTCCCTCAAGCAAGTAGGTAATAATACTTAACACTACCTACAGATAGTTTCTCAAAGCACTCTTGTGATCTACTAATAAAGTTGTGCCCACTTTTACTTTAAATTATCGGGAATTTGAACTCTTAAAATATTCAATCGAATTAAATTCTATTAGATATCTTATAGTATATATGTATGTATTTAGATATGGGTGTGCTGCTTGGGGTACATAGTCTTCAAATTTTGTAATATAACTTTACGATTAAAACACTTTGATGTAAGTTTTATATAGGAAATGAAACTATTTTTCCGGATTTAAATCGCGTATATTTGTTTTTTCAAACAAACCGACGTTTCGGGCCCTTTACAGGTCCCATGGTCACGGTTGACAGTCAACCGTGACCATGGGAAAAATAGTTTCATTTCCTATGTGTAACAATCGCGAAAACCTAAGAACTCGGTAAGTTTTATACTTAGAAAATGATAATCTTAATATATGCTCCGGAATCGTATCGTTAAAACGTATACAGTTCCCTACAAAAGAATCGTTTACTTACATAGTTAAACTAAATCGTGGTACCAAGAGTTTGGATTTAGTTCTAAGGTTAATATTATAGATATCTTCTTTCTTAATGAAATGATGTATATTTTTACGGGCATATATAATATTAGAATAAATGTACTGTGATGCTACAGTCATGATTATGCAGTCATAATGACCGTACAAGCACGATACTTGATACGATACATAGGATATAATGAGCTCTCTGCTACTAAATCAATAACGACGTAAACCTAGTTAGTCTTTTCGATCAGTCTGAAACGACAGATCGTGAAGACAAATCGTCCAATATATAGGACTGTGATAATCAGAAAATTTAACTCCAGGAGCGTAACAGGCTCAAATAGGGGCTTATAAAGAACAATATTTAATACATGACGAGATCAGTAAGTAGTTAGGGAGCTTAATTTAAGTTCGTAATGTAATCCCCCTATCCTTTGACGCCCATTTGTTTCTAAACAAACAAGTCTAATCACAGAGAATAAAACAATAGAAATTATCACAAACAGGAGCTGTCAGAGATAGCGGAATATTCCTGAATATTTGACGGAATATTTTCGGCAACTTGTATAAAGAATGGGCGATGTAATAGTATAGGACAGAGAAGGGAGATAATAAATGGTCGAGTTCTTTGTTGAATGCAGTTTAAAAAGGAGTATTTAAAATATAATGAAATTAGGTAGTAACGGAAATAAGATACATTAAAGCCGTGAAAAAATATCCGATAAAACAATTGTTACAGGCAAATATCTATTTCTAAAGCAGCCGACCCTCCTGATACAGAGCTATACAATGGAAATTAACACAAATTACGAGTAATTTAATCTATTTAAGAACTTTATTATCAACTCGACTACATTTTGTTCAAATTTTAAACAATACCCTTGTTTATTGTTCTCCGAACGAGTATTGTTTTGTAATCCTCTTTAGTTTGTCCTGTTTTGTTCTTGTTTAAAACAGCAAATGTAATGCTTTGTGCTTATATTGTTATAACAAAATTTGTGCTTATATTGTTTCAAGTGGATTAAGGATACTTTTGTTTTAGGGCAGGCTCACATGACAAGTGTTAACCGCACGTTTTGCAAACACGCGCTCATAACTACGCGAATTTATTCATAAGTAAACGCGTACGGTTTCATACGAACAAAATTCATAAATAATCCTAAACAAAATGCTTGCACGCGCACTGAACGTTTGTCATCCGAACCGACCCTTATTGTGACGAACTTCCCCACGGGTAATGATTTCAACAACCAGTGTGGTGTGTTAGGGTTACGTAAGTCATAGTCACGGAATCATATTTTGGGGGAAACTCTAGCTACAGAAATACAATTTTTAGAGGTCAAAAACGATATACACGAGCAATTTGTGGACTAAAATATACGGAAAGCTGTAGCCCTTTTTTTAAGTCTCTAAGGCTGTTGACTTTTCCTTGCCTGTATGTACTCGAAATCTCTAAATTTGTCAAAATGAACCCAACTTTCTTCACAATTAGACCCACGGTACACAATTCTTGGAGCTGAGTCCCTGACCCCGGCCGATTGTGCCATTAATAATGATAATAATGATGATAATAATAAGAATAAGAATAGGAACGGGAGCGGGAGCGGGAGCGGGAGCGGGAGCGGGAGCGGGAGC